TTTCAGATGCCTCCTGGCATATCCCATGTAGCCCAACCAGCACAGAGCAGGGAATGGGGGAATCTGCTATAGAGGAGAGACCACAAAATTTCCCACTCCAGCAAACAAAAACAATCATTTATAATATTAGTACAAGACTACAATAGCTAGCACAAGAAATGGAACAGCTCACTACTGTACAACATTTACTAAAAATATCACTTTCTAGAAGTCAGAAAATGATGTTGGAATTTGTGCCACTTGCGATTGGTGAGACAGGTTTATTTGCTGAATGAATTACTAAATGCTTAAAGATGAATTTACGGGAAACCACATTAGAGAATGCCAGGGGAGGGAGGGAGGAACAGACAGATAGAAAGACAGACAGACATACATACGCACACACACACACACACACACACAGGGCTGGGGGCATTCAGTTTGATTAAAAGCATTCAGTAGCTATGACTGCACTGGGAAAGATTCACAATAACCATTGATTGGCCTATAGGGGGTAAAGCCACACTTTTCAATCTAATTCCTAAAACAAACAAACAAAAAACCCACTTCTACGAGTCAGTTAGACCAAGAGATAAGCTCATGAGACTATATTCTTAAGATAGTCTTTGAATATAGTAACTGTTTCCTTTCACTGTCTCTCATTTGCATAACTGAATGCACCACCTGGTTATATATGTTCACTGTCTTACCCCTCCAACGCATATTCTGGTATCTAATGTTATTTTTATAATTTACATAATGCATGTTAAAATAAAGTATGTGAAGAAATACTTCTTTAAGTGTTCAAGCACCGGTATACAGTTTCAACCTATCTGTAGCCTCTGTATGGTCTCAAAGTCAGTTTCCCTCAACAAGTCCCAGGTAAATACTCAAATAATTTCATACTAATGTTGAAATCTAGTTATAGGTGTAGATACACATGCATGTAAGACTGCTATATAGATAACAGGATTCCAAAATTAATATAACATGAATAGACTTAATTATTTTTACTTATTTAAAGTGTATTTTGATACAACATTAAGATTTCCACCACCCTGGCCAAGAAGCTCTGTTGGTTGGAGTGCTAACCTGATGAGCCAGGTTTGGGGTTTCATCACCAGTCAAGGCACACGCAAGAATCATCCAATGAATGCGTAAATAAGTGGAACAACAAATCGATGTTTCTGTCTCCCTCTCTCTAAAATCAACTTAAAAAGATTTCCATTGTTTTTTACATGATCTCTAATTTTATTTTCTGGATGCTGGGGTGTTTTTAGCTGAAGTTTTCAACTTGTGAAAAAATAAAATAAGGTTTGTGATCAGGGCACAGGATCTGAGGTCCAGTAAATGTGAGTTCAACTGTGGACTCTAACACTTAACTTAATGGCTATGTGATATGTGGTAACTATTCAATTTTTCTAAGACTCAGTTTTCTTAAGGGTAACCTGGGATTAAGAACTATAGAAATTAAGATAAGAATGACGTCAGATAATTTACTTAAGGTGCTTAACACAGTACCTAACATTTAGTAAGTCCTTCATAAATTTTAGTACTATAATGCTTGCTGATCCAAGCAATACTTAGCAAATAAATATTACAAAACACTAAGCAGATAAGGGAGACACTTCATTTTTTATAACAATAAGCAAAGCTTTCAAGAGAATGAATATAATTAGTACACAATAATGACTTATCCATTCAGCTGCTGCCTATATTGTCCTGATGTGACACAACAAAACACACTAGCAAGCCTGTGAATATGGGAGATGATTCAAAGTTATCTTATTGGAGAGAAAGTGGTACAACTGAAGTTCCTTCCTGGAACCCTGGACGAAATGATGTGCTTCTTCCCTATGAGACAAAGCGTTTACACTACCCTATCTTCCACAGCACTTTCTGACATGTCGGGAAAATCAGCAGAAATAAATCAGAGGTAAGAAAAAGAATGAAGCTTGAGGGAGCCAGTATGTTAATGAAAGACAAAGTGTAAGAAACGGAACAAAGTAATAATTATCTCCAAGCCTATTTCTCTCCTTTTAACTCCACCGGTGCACGCCTGAAAAACCACTAGAGCCATCCGCATCACTCCTCTGCCCCCAAACAAAACCTCCATTGGATCACGGGTGAATCCCTGGCCCTAGACAAACCCTATTACCTCTCTATGCCCAAAGCTGCCCTTTTGAGAGAGGGGTGTTCCTCAGAATCACAATACATGCAATTAAAACCACCAACACAGTTCTTGAGAGACAAACATCTCCGGGGACGGGGTCTAGTTTGAATCCTAACCACAGACTAAGCTTCTAACACAGTGCAGTCACCAGTGCTCTCTGTACCACTCACCTATGGATCCAGGGGGCGGTTGAACTCAAGAACTTTGGGTCCAGGAATAAGAAAAATGAACTTTTTAAGCATTTGTTAGCCTCTGCTGCTTTGGGAACACTTGCCCAGCGTCCGCCTGCCCAGACTTCACCTCTGGCTCGCCCGGTGGACTCTGAGGCCCCTCCCGGGCCCCCACAAACCTCCTACAAGACACGAATACTGAGGTGCCTCCACCAAACCTAAACCCGAAGCCGAAGGAGCCGGTTCCGCCAGCTGCTCCTGGCGCAGATGCAGTAGCCTCTTTAGTTAGGGAGGCTGTGACGTTAGGAAAAGGATGTGCGCAGGCGCAGTTTCCTCTGGAGGCTGGGAAAGCTGTGGCGTAGGAATCTTGCGCGCAGGCGTGGTGACTCTCTTGAAACGTCCTGGGAGTACCAGGCACCTCGCAAGGGTGCGTAGGGCTTGAGAAGTTCCCCGGTAGCATTATGACTACAAACACAGCTCCTTATAGCTTCCCAAAGCAGCAGGTGCTTTGTGCAAGAGGTTGACTCATGAGAATTGATTTCGTCGCTGAGACCCAAAAGCAACACTTCGTGCATTGGCTTCATACTTAGACCATGGATGAGCCTGATCCCTCCCTGTGCAAGGGACAGCCACTCAGTTCTGTTCCATGTTTGTAAACAGTGGTACCAATACTTATTTTGCAGTTCGATTGTGAAAGCACAGGTTGAAGAGGGCATCTTCCATTCCCAAACATCTGTTGTTATTTAAGTGGAAAAATTGGCTTTTGCAATATTGTTTAAGGCTATCCATTCTTACTAGTTTTTCATGATGGCACAACTTTGATGTGACTTCTTGTCTCTTAATACAGAAATACTACATAATTCATATATAATTGTAATTAATATAATTAATAATACAGACACAAAGAGCTGCATGCCCAGAAATCTGCTCAAGAATTCAAAAAGTTATTAGGCAAATCTTTTTTTTTTTTTTTAATTTTATTTAGTTACTTTTCAAGTACATTTTTTTTTCTCTCCCCCCCCCCACCCGGTTTCCCCCCTCCCTCCCATTTCCCCCCCCCCGCCCCCCAGTCCTCATCTCTGTGTCTTTCATACTTGTTCCTCAAAATCCCTCCCCATTTTTCCCCTTAAGTTCCCTTCCCTCTCCCCTCTGGTCGCTGCCCACTTGTTCTCTATTTCAGCGTCTTTGTTTTTATTCTGTTTGCTTGTTTGTTTTATTCTTTAGCTTCCTGTCAAAGGTGAGATCATATGGTATTTGTCCTTCAATGCCTGGCCTATTTCACTCAGCATAATGCTTTCCAGTTCCATCCATGTTGTTGCAAAAGGTAGTAGTTCCTTCTTTCTCTCTGCTGCATAAAATTCCATGGTGTATATGTACCACAATTTTTGGATCCATTCATTTACTGGTGGGCACCTAGGTTGCTTCCAACTCTTGGCTATTGTAAATTGTGCTGCTATGAACATTGTGGTGCATAGGTTCTTTGAAATTGATGTTTTAGGATTCTTGGGGTATAATCCTAGCAGTGGAATTGCTGGGTCAAAAGGCAGGTCAATTTTTATTTTTCTGAGAAAATTCCATACTGTTTTCCATAATGGTTGTACCAGTCTACAATCCCACCAACAGTGAACTAAGGTCCCCTTTTCCCCACACCCTCTCCAACATTTGTTGTTTGATGCTTTGTCTATTATATAGGCAAATCTTTATTGAGCACCTACTATGATATAGTAATTGCCACATAATGTAGGACTGAAACATGAAAACAAACTCAGTCCTTATGTTTCAGGAGTTGTTGATTTATACAATATTTTATTATTTTAGCCTTGCTTATGCTTGGTTCAAAGAGAATCAAGGGTTTCTAATTAAGCCTCTTGTAGTGTTGCTGTGTTTACTTACGTAAGTAGTCTACCTTAGAGCCAGGCACTTATTAGGTACTCAACAACAGGAAGCTTCTACCGAGAGGCTAGCTTTGTCCTGCAGCTCTTGATCTGATAGCAGAAATCAATGTATTCTGTATACATAAAACTGTGAGCACATAAGAGGGGATGACCAAGTGATGGGGGGACGGGCATCTGAAAATAAACAATACAATTTAGTGCGGGGGTGACAGTGAATAAAGCCTCAACTTCAAGAGCACAACTGTGTATTCACTTTCAAGGTGCTGAGAGTGGCCCTAGCAATGCTCCCTTAGTCTTGTACTTTGATAAAATCTGCAAAAATAAGATAATTTTACATTCTTTTTATTTTAAAGGGCCCCCTAATTCTTGCAAGGTTCAGGCCTCAACAAAATATGCATCTGCCGCCTTGATAACCCATTATGACAGAGGTAGGAGAGGGATGGTCTGAGGGGAAACAAAAAGAAAAATAGTTATGGAAGCGCTCTAAAGTACAGGAACTCCTATACTAACAGTCCTATAGAGCAGACACTTCGTTTTGTAAGAACTGCGTCCAGCAAAGAGATCTAGTGGGCTTTGAGCTCTCACCTTAGAGGCTCAGACACTCGCAGAAGGCCACAATATACCCTGCCCCACCTCCACCCCGCACCCCGGGCTTGGACAAGACTGCTGGAATCACGAAGGTAGCTGCGACCAGGCACTCACATATCTTGTCCCTCTCGGCCACCGTTCAAGGCACTCTAGCCGCAACGTCTGCGCATGCCCAGAGGGGGGGAAAAATAGGTTCCCACTACAAGGGGAGAGGCGGGGAGCAGGTAGTGTTGAAGTCGGCGAGGGTATTTGCTCGAGACACCGAGTGTGGGCCGGAAGTGGAGGAGTAGACAGTGGCTCCACTGGACCTCCAGGCTAGACTACGACGGCCCCTTGACTGGAAGAGGACGATGAGGAGCAACGGAAGCTGCAAAGGGGGACGCAGCTGCGCGGCGCCGGGTTGCGTGGCCGCGGTAGACTGCGCAGTTTGCAAGCAGGTCTAAGTAAGTGCGGTGCAGTTCAGCTGAGCTGTGGGGTCTGCTTTTTCCTGAAGGGTCCTGACGGGTGGCTGGCAGGGGCTTCGCTGGTGCCCTGGTCCTGCACCACCTCTCGAGGAGAGCAGCGCTGCGCGCCCAGGGCCACGCGGGTCCTGAGCCGTGCTGCCCCGGAAGAAGCCCAGTCTGCAGCCCTGCGGGTGGCGAGTAAAAACCCAAACGAATGCCCTTGTGGAAACTGAGGCGCACGGATTACCGAAGGCCCTCCGGTGCCCTGCTGGGACTTGTTGCTTAGAACGTATCTTAGAGACTCGTATGTCAGTGGTATTTCCAGCAACGTGTACAAACCAATACCTAGAAATTATCCCCAACCCCCACCGCCTCGCACTCCCCTACACACGAAAAGTGAAACAAAAATCCCAGTTGCTCGATCTGAGGCGTGTAGTAGCCCCGGTCCTTTCACGCCACTAATGGGTTAAACATTTTCGGATTTCATGGCAGGAAGTTTTGGGTGTTTTAAGAAACAGCACGAGAGTACCCCCATACAATCGAAGTCCATTTTGCTGTAGGTTTTTGTGAATATTTTCTGAAAAATGCGTTACTAGTGTTACCCCCTAGGTACCATCACCAAGAAAAGGCTTTTATTCAGCAGCTTTTGCATTTGCTTGCCATGTAATAGTAATGGAAGAGAAGTACACAAGAGGATATAGGCTTCAAGGGTTTTTTTTTTAAGTTTTTTATTTATTCATTGATTTTAGAAAGAGGAAGAGAGACAGACAGACACGCGCATCAACTTGTTCCATTCATTGGTTGTTTCTTATACGTGCCCTGACAGGGAATCAAGGTCTAACCCCTGAGCATCTGGCCAAGTCTGGGTTTAAGTTTTGGTGTTTGATTTTTACCGACCTTCTCTTTGTTTCTTTTGGCATGGATTAAATCATATTTGTGTGCATGCTTAATGACCTATCTTTTACTATAGGTTAAATTTTATTCTACTAAATTAGAATGTGTGGCTGTCCATCAAGTGTTAGGTCATAATTATACTACTTAAAACATAGACCATACAATTCGATAATTGTTATAGATATTTACTATGAGCCAGACATTGCCACCTCCTGAAAACGCAATGTTGAATTAGATGAAGTCATGGTCATCAAGGAACTCAGAGTCTGTGGAAAGCAAATGAGTTAACAATATAATAGTGAGTGCCACCACATCAGTTTGTACAAACTGCAGAATATGGAATGATTGGCAGTAAGGAATAGAGGTCTAGGGAAGGTTTTCTGAAGTAGCTGCTACCTGAGCTGGGTTTTGAAAGAAAAATAAGGCATTGTTTTAGTTATTCCCTGTGTGCAAATACTCAGATATTCTCCAGTGAGTTTCATCCATAATGTAATTCAGGTCTAACAGAACTTCTAGTTGTACTTAATTTCACTCACTCTGTTCTGACAGATGGTACCTTAAATTTTGCCTCATGGAAGTAGCTGCATTTATTAGTTACATTTCATCTCAGCAGCTTTGCAATTACCTATTTCACCCCTTTTTCTATAGGAGGAAATATATTTAGAGAGATTGAGTTGGCAAAAGCTACCTGGCTGTTAACCTACCAAGCCCCAAAACACTCTTCACTGCACCACACTGCCTCCCATTGATAGCTAATTTGAAATGATGAAATCAGGGCAGTTTATGAATATCTGTACATGCAGATCTTGGCACACCACCTGCCTTCTCAGGCACACCTCAAGCCCCTTGCCCCCTGAAGATACTTAGCCAAATTGTCCTGGGTTAATAGTATAACTTAGTGGTGGTTACAGGAAACTGTTTAACCCAACATTTTTGTATGATTTCCCCTCTCTTGTCACTTAATCCCAGGGGAATCTATTTCTGTTTCTCTGTTTTTTATTAATGTAGAACTCTGTTACTAAGAGATTCTAAAAATTTTCTAATTCTTACTTAGTTATCTCAGGAATGCGTGAGGCCCTTCTATACCCATTTTAGAATACTGTAAAGAAGGTTTTGGTTCTTCTAATTATTCTAATTAAGATTTTACCCTCAATGATAGGCTTCTAATAAGTTATTACATTTTATGTTACTGTTTCATATAGGTGTTAACTCTTTTAGCAGTATATTCTACTGGAATTGTAAAGTTGTAGTACTTCCAGAACATGAACTGGAATTTCCATGAACATGGAATTTCATGTATTTATGAGCTTGCCTGAGGGTCTTACTTCTGCAACACAGATTTTATAAGAAAATAAATTCTAAGTTTCATCCATGCACTTTATAGTAAAATATTTAAAACAGTACCTCTTTGTAAATAGGAGACTTCCTGAATTTCATTGTCTTAATTTGAACATCTGTTTTGCGTTATTGGCCTTGTAGATTTTCTACCATTTTATTTCTTACAGATATTTATAATCTTTGAATAAATTGTGATTGGCTTACTTAGTGACGATAATCTGTCATCCTTTTTCTGTTACAGTTGAGGACCAAGTCTTCCATGCTTCTGGGGAAGGGGAAAGCCCAAAAATGCTATGTTACTGCCTAGTGTAATGTTTGATGTAATCTGCCCAAACAGATTTAAATCCCAGTTTAAAATGCTTGCTGAACTATTCAATTACTATCCAACATCTCCACAGGCAGTTATTGTTCATTTGTCCCATAGGACTATTAATACATACTTTTTCATTATTGATGACATGTGGGTAACCATTAGGGAAATAGATAATTCATTCTGTGGTGTCTCCAACACACTGACTGATAGCTATTTGTGTTTCCATTTCAGTTGTGCAGCTGGCATGGTTTCTTAACTTCTCAGTGCTTAGCAGAAAAGAAGATATGTTCAGGCAGGAAGGCTGAATCTTTAGTTCTTAATGAACACGATGAGATACTCATTCTTCTGACGTAACTTTTAGCAGTGACAGGTGAATTTGCTTTCTGTTTTCAGTCTTCACATGAACCTACATATTGTTCTATTACTTCTAGATATGTTTTTTAATGTATGAGCAGTTTTTTATTTTTAAACAAGCTGTTCCTAAAATTACTAATTTGAGATGGACTCTAGGGCTCTTTAAAAGTAATAGTTCAGCTCTGGCTGGTGTAGTTCAGTGGATTGAGCTCGGGCCTGGGAACCAAACAACCATGGTTCAATTCCCAGTCAGGGCACATGCCTGGGTTGCAGGCCAGTTCCCAGAAGGGGACGCACAAGAGGCAACCATACATTGATATTTCTCTCTCTCTCTCCTTCCCTTCCCCTCTAAAGATAAATAAATAAAATCTTTTTAAAAAAGTAATCATTCACTTATGACTTGGGACATTTTTCTTTCTTTTTTTTTTTTTTTAAGATTTTATTTAGAGGGGGCTTGGGGCTTTTCTTTTATTTCTACTCAATTAACCTTTAGTCAAATTGGTTTTGGGGAATAAATATTTAACTCATTTATAGGAAAATATTTTGTTGTTTTCAGAAACCTTTTACTATTGGCAGAATTGGTAAATCAGTATACACTGTGCAATACAATGTACACTTTTGCGATTAAAAATAATTAGAATAGTTAGCATTTATCTTTTTTGGTGAGACAGTTTTTACCTTCATTAAAATATCATTTTATCTGTGATTGAAAGAATAACATTTGTGTGACTTACTCTGCTAATTATTGCAGCAATAATAATTAGAATGTGCCATTACTGTAGTTTGGATTTTAGTTCTTGATATATTTATTGTTTTTTATTTTTAATTTTTTTGTGTGTACAGTATTGCTGGGTAAAGTGATCTGAATAGATTACAAGCATCAGGGAGAGAGCAGGAAAATTCTTTGGTGTGGAGAAGGTTGAGGGTGGGTGTTACTCTAGACTTGTAATTAATCTTTAATGTGTTGTTGGCCATCATTTACTTTTTATTGGAGTGAATAACCTGAGTTCTATTGACAAAGCACCAAACAAACACTGCTGAGTTCCTGGAAAATCATGACAGTTCCTTGTATACTTAATTATTTCCTGGCTTTTCTTTCTTCCCTCATGTTAATAATACACTCCTAAAACATACTATGTCTGTTGTCCTACATGAAGATTGTTTAGCCAGAATAATTCTCTACAACTTTAACTACCAGAATGCTGTTTAAAAAATGTTACTTTGATGATAGTGGTCTGGAAGGAGACTGAAAATGTGTGATGAATACAATGTTTTACAAACCTCAATTGAAATATAAAATCACATCTTTGTTCATCAGAGATTTCTAGAGACCTGTTTTTATTTTTATTTATTTAAAAATTTTTTTTATTTTATTGATTATGCCGTTACAGTTGTTCTATTCCCCCCCTTCATTCCCCTCCACCCGGCATCCCCCACCCCCACCATTCCCCCCTTTAGTTTATGACCATGTGTCTCAAGTTCTTTAGATTTTATATTTCCCATACTATTCTTGCCTCCTATCTATTTTCTACCTACCGTCTATGCTACTTATTCTCTGTACCTTCTCCCTCCTTCTCGTCCTCCCACTCCCTTGTTGCTAACCCTCCATGAGATCTTCATTTCTATGTTTCCGCTCCTGATCTAGCTGTCCTTTTAGTTTGCTTTTGTTTTAGGTGTGGTTGTTAATAACTGTGAGTTTGCTGTCCTTTCACTGTTCATATTTTTTATCTTCTTTTTCTTAGATAAATCCCTTTAGCATTTCATATAATAAGTGCTTGGTGATGATGAACTCCTTGAATTTGATCTTATCTGAGAAGCACTTTGTCCTTCCATTCTAAATTGAAAGTTTTGTTGGATAGAGTAATCTTGGTTGTAGGTCTTTGGATTTCATGACTTGGAATACCTCTTTCCAGCCCCTTCTTGCCTGGAAGGAAGAGACCTGTTTTTAATCTTGAGTGCATTCTTAATGTCTTAGTAACTTTTTAGATACTGTTAGAAGTCACATAACCACGGCCCCCAATCTTCTATAGTAAAGATATTATTATTTATAATTCAATGCCTATTTTCCAACTCTACCTTGTATTTTTTATCACCTATAAAATATAATTTGTGAGACTTTTAGGTTATTCAGGGAACTTCTTCCTTTTACAAGTGTAGACATTTAGATGCAAAGTAAAAAAGTCATATATATGCAAAGATACCCCTTCGAAATCGGACTTGGATAGTGGTGTAAGAATGTAGGGTGCAACACTCACTGGATTAAATCCTCACTCAGGGCATAGCCCAGGGTGAAAGGTACTCTCTCTAAAGTTTCTCGTCTCTCTTATAGTTATGATCTTTGAGAACCTGAAGAATGTTTGGTGTTTTTTTTCAATATTCTTTTATTTATTTTTAGACAGAGGGGAAGGGAAGGAGAAAGTGCAGGAGAGAAACATCAGTGTGTGGTTGTCTCTCATGTGTCCCCTGCTGGGGACCTGGCCTGCAAGCCAGGCATGAGCCTTGACTGGGAATTGAACTGGCAACCCTTTGCTTCACAGGCCCATGCTCAATCCACCGAGCTACACCAGCCAGGACTGTTGAGTGTTTTTATTAAAGTTACTTTTTTTCTCTTTTGGCATCTAGTAAACATTAGTAACCTATATATATTAAATGAACAAAAGATTTCATGTAGTACGTCATTTCTGAATTTGAAGGAAACAGTCTCCGGGGGGAAAAGGCAATAAGGTTTGTGGTTATGCAGAATAGAACAGTAGTTTGATCAAACTTAAAAAAAGATTTTATTTATTTATTTTTAGAAATGAGGGAAGAGAGGGATAGAAATACCTTTATGAGGGAGAAACATCGATTAGTTGCCTCTCACACCCTGAGCAAGGACCAAACCCTTAGCGCCAGCCGGTGTCCTGACCTGGGATCAGACAGGTGACCTTTTGGTTTGCAGGATGATGCCCAACCAACTGAGTCACACCGGTCAGGGCTAGTTATCAAACATTTTGTTCTCAGAACCCCTTTACATTTTCTGATCCTCTTTACATTTTTAAAAATTACTGAGGACTCAAGAGTTTCTATACATGTGGACTAAATACAGAGATATTTACTGTGTTAGAAATTAAAACTGGGAGTTTATAAAATTAAACTTCGTCATTTTAAAATAACAGTAAAAACTCTATTACATAACATAATAGCTTTTTTTTTGGAAAACAATTGTATTTGGAAAAAATTAGCAAGGAATATGTCATTGTTTTACATTTGTGTAAATATCTTTAATGTCTGCTTGATAGAAGACAGATTTTAATGTTTCATTCTCATAAGTTGTTTTTGATGAAATACATGAAAAAAAGGCCCACACAAATTTTTAGTTGTGAAAGGAGTATTTTTATAGTTTTTTCAGATAATTATGGTTATTCTCTGATTCTACAATATTAAACAAGTGGTAATTTTTTAAAGGACAGTTACATTGTGGAATCTGAAACCCATATCAAAGAATTTTTGTCTCTGTTACATTAATTTTTTTGACCCATGCTTGATTTTGTGACACCATTCATTGGTCATTTGGAAGATATTAGTTTTGCTATGTTGAGCTAATTATTGCAAATGTTGACACATTTAAAAGGTTATCAAAAATCTCATTTGTTTATTGCACCATGACAGTTCTATCAGAAAAGTGTCCCAAGTTGTGGGAAGCCATTGGCAACTTCATTTATTTTCCAGAAAATGTCTGCTAAACACCTAATTTTGAGTAACCAGTTTGTTAATTTTCTTTTTAAGTCAAAATGGTGTCACCTAAAAAAAGCAGCTAGCTCACCTCACACCTAGTACTTCATGTATCCTCCCCATTTGGTAAGACAGTTGCCCCACAAAATGTAATTATAACTGCTTCTTCAGTGACATTCATAAGTAAAAACTGATTTTCACCCCTCTCCCCACACTTGCCTGGAGTTCATGGTGATAATACAATGACTTACACAGTCTGGTGCCACTACCATTCTGCTAAGGCACCAGCAGTTTTACCCCTCACTGGTTTTATACCACTAGTACAAATGTCAAAAAATGAAAAGACAAATATTATTTTAGTATGATTATAATATTAACCTCTCAGACCTTTTGAAAAGGTGTTGGGGACCCTCAGGAGTCTGCAGCCACTTTTTGAGAACCACTGGGATAGAAAGATCTCAGTTTATAAAGTTTATGCAGCTCTGCTGCTCTGATTTTCTTTACACTTGTCCTTGCCATGTATTTATTTAGATTATACTTGAATACCGCTAGTTCCTCTGAGTAATTGTGCTAAATGAATAAAAATGTGTTATAGATAGCTGTTTGATGGAAAGTAAAAGAAATTCTTAACCCTAGCATTGTATGTTGTTCTGTTTTTAAAAAGTTTGCATAAATTTCCACTTGGTTTCTGTAAGTAATCAAGCATTATGAAATCCAGATATTACTAAACTTATGTTATAAAGGAAACATAGTTAAGGTTTTATTCTTTGTATAGTTACGGACAATTGTGACTTTCTTTGATTTTCTTTGCGTTATCTATAATTAAATAAACTTATATTACGTACATATATATATAATTATATATGTCCATGTCTCGTTTCCTGAGTAGGTCATGAGTTACTTGAAATTTACTGAGAAGCTTATGAGGTACTTAAGAGCAGGGGCTGTACATTTATAATTTTGAAGTAGTTTATAGTGCCTAGGCACTATGATTCCGTATAGCAAGTATCCACACATATTTGTAGATGTAGCATTGCCTTTAATCTTTAAATAATAAATAGTATGGTAGAATAAATTGGAATCTTACGAGGCTTGGAAGCCAGCCCTGGGACCACTTCACTGGACCAGTCTAGGTTTGAGAGCTCTCTGGAGACTTGTAGTTATGTTTGTGGTAATGTTCTGAGAATTCATACCATTGTAGTTGGGCATAACCTTGGTATTGACCTCTTTTTTTAAATCATCAGCTTACAGAATAGTTATTTAAATATTTTCCTTAGAACTGGAATCATTTGAGATCTTCCAGCC